CATGTAAGATGTATGTATGTATGTATTGAAGGGTTAGAGGCAGAGCCCTTGATGACCCTATTTATGTACAGTGCGTTCGCAGATTCATACTCAAAAATAAAATAAAATTGCAGGAATTTAAAATGTGATTGGGTCGCAGTTCAATCGTAATCATAAGGTAGTGCATAGGGTCACTGTAAATTAGTGCGGAAGATTGTATATGACAGATTTTACAAAACTGGCTGTGCATAGTCATGCTGTACAAGCCGATTTCTGTCGAAAACTAGACGAGCAAGTTTTCTTTTAAACAGACAAACTGTGTCAGCCGTCACCATCTCGCTTGGAAGCGAGTTCCACGGCCTGACGACCCACTGGCTGAATGAAAATTTTCGTCGGTCTAAACGCGTGCGTTCATTCCCGACTTTGTATGCATGGCCGTGTAGTTGGTTTGTACGGGCGAACTCAAAGAAGTCCTCTGCTCTTAATGAGCAACCCTGGCCGCGAACAATCCGGAAGGTCCAGAGTAGACTGCAGTTTATTTGTCTATAAGAGAGAGGGAATAGGCCAAGCAAATTCAGCCTCTCCTGATAAGACAAATGCTTTAAACCGTCGACCATCTTTGTCGCTCTGCGTTGCATCTGTTCGAGTAAGTTGATATCCTTCCTCATCCATGGTGAAGCTGCTGGCATTCCATGCTCTAGATGAGGTCTTACAAAGACACCAAAGAGTCTTTCGAAGAGTTCAGGAGGAAATATTTTAAATGCACGTCTAATCCAGTGTAGAGTACTAGTATCAATACATTACCGAAACTTAACCTGTGTGTTGTCTATCGCCCTCTCAGCTCGAATAAAATCGCCGATATATAATTACTTAGTGCACTAGAGTTGTTATGTTGGCAGGAGAACTTACTACTTCTGGGTGACTTTAACGCTCCAGGAATAGACTGGAAAATTCCCTTAACAAACGGCCCTTCAATGTTTTTCGTCCACAAGCTACCACAACTCTCCCTGAATGAATACTTCATTCAACACATAAAATGCGGAACAGGACTGAGAGAAGGACAACGATTTAACTGTTTAGATTTCGTTTTCAGTAAAGAAGAAGGAGTCATAATGCAAGCGAATCCAGAACCTCCACCCGGTTTAAGTGATCATATTGCTGTTTCCCGCGTGTGCTCTCTCCTATCGAACCAACAACCAAAAACCAAGAGGCGCAGAAATATTTGGAAGGGGGACTTTAACGCAACGAGACGTACTCTTTTGAAGGAAACCTAGCTAGTCAACGTGGAAGATTCACAAGAATTCTGGCAGTACGTTCGTGGGATTATAGAGCATCTAATTGACTACCGCTGACCAATAAAAATGACAAACCCATGTGCACGACCGCCGTGGTTCAATCTGATGACAAAAAAGACCATGAAGAAGAAACAGAGGCCATGGAAAGAGTACTTGCATCTTCAAGATCCCATAACATTCGCTCAATGAAAGGAGCAGCGCAATAAATGCCGCAAGCAAATACGGGTTGCTAGAACTTCTTTCGAGCGCCGACCGACAGCAGAATCCATTACATGTCCTAAGAAGTTTTATGGGTACATCCGTAGTTGGAGGAAACATAGAGAAGAAATCGCGTGTCTAAAGGATAGTCCCGGAAACTTATTAGTGGAAGGGGCACATAATGTTTTACAGTCGATTTTTACGGAGGAGTCCTCTGAAGACAACCAGGAGTTTGAAATGGGTCAAGACGACCGGGAGCCTCAAATGCGCAAAGATATTGCCGTCATTAAAATCGTCGGCTTTTCCGTCGAAGACGTAAGACAAGTCCACAGTCAAATAAGACCAGAAAAGTCGTCTGGACCCGACGGTATGCCTAGGCTGATGCATGAGGTGCTATAAACGGAGTTGTCGAAACCTCCTTCAACTCTCCTTGAGCTGTCAATGAGAACAGGAAGGCTGCTCTCAGTGGAAGACAGCAAAACCCCGTTTCCTTACCCGAGGAAGGTATCAGAATGGCAGCAAGCAGCTTCAGGCCTATTAACTTAAATTGCCTCTCATGCAAAAGGATGGAAGCTCTAGGAATGAGGGCTATAAAGCGATTTCGTGAAGAAAATAGCGTCTTGCAGGATTTTCAACATGGCTTCCGGGGAGGACGTTCCTGTCTCCCAAATCTGCTAGCTAGGCTGGAGACCTGGACCAGGGCCTTAGAATAGGGTTTTGAGGTCGATGTCGTGTATATCGATTTTCGCAAAGTATTCGACACTGTACTGTACCAAAGCCTCATTCACAAACTGAGCGCCATCGGCATCCAGGAATATCTTCTGAACTGGATAAGGGCGTTTCTGGTTGAACGGAAACAACGTGTCTGTATCGGGGAGGATCTGTCAGAATGGGTGAACTTGACTAGTGGTGTACCTGAGGGCTCAGCTCTGGGACCATTGTTCTTCATCCTTTATGTTAATGACAGCCTTCAGGAACTCGGCTGTTGTAAAATAATGTTCGCCAACGACGTTAAGCTCTGTCAGGTCATAAAGAGTCTAAATGACCAGAGAGTTCTTTAAAACAGTCTGTACCGACTGCATGCGTGGTACGAGAAATGGCTTCTAGATTTCAATGTGCAGAGGTGTTTCATCCTTCATCTGCGTTCAACGAACAGTAATTCGACAGCGAGTCTGAGGACATATCAGCTGAACGACATTAGACTTCCCACAGAATTTTCGCAGAAGGATCTTAGTGTCTGGATACAGAGCGACAGGAAACCAGCACTGCCGTGCAATAAGGCTGCAGAAAACGTCATCGGAGTGCTCCATGCAATCAAGAGGGGCGTTCGTAACTTTTGACAAAAACCCTCACAGAATGCGCTCTATCGATGCTCTTGGCGAAACCTTCTGTATTCGCCATATACTAGTAGTCTGGTCGCATCTCCCTTGCCCCATCCTCGGATGAACTCGGTTGAATGTAACCGACCGCATCTGGGTTCCTATAAGCTCGAGACTGGTTTTCAATTTCGCCACTTATTTGCATTATTCAAGGCCACATACAGGCCAGTCCTGACCGACCCGCCTACTTACCCCTTCATGAAATCCGTTATACAATGCCATATACAGCTGACATTTATTTCGGCCCTGTTGATGTCCGACTATAATCCATTCTATACCGCCACATGCAGGCCAGTCCCGCCCGCATTTTTCCGATTATATTTTTTTCGAAGTTTTTTTCCTCCTGTAAAATTAATCCAATCATTTTTCAATTTTCAAATGGAGTTTTTTTCACCCCTCGCTTAGCATTTTTCTTAACGGACTTCTAATCTCAAAAACTATGTATTGCACTTTATACAGATTTTGCCTACCTCGTCTAAAATTCGCATGTAAATTTATTTTTACTTGCTTTGATAGGACCCCGAAGGGTCTTTGATGAAAATAATTAAATTAAATTAAATTAAAAAGACTATCGTAGACGATTTTTATTTGCCAGAAATTGACTGGCACACAAATACTTCAGTATCAGTATCAGTATATTTCAGGGAAAGTAGGTGTGTACCTTTGAAATCCCTATTGGTTACATGCAGAGGATATATATGGAGGAAATGGAAAGGAAGTAACATGAAAGAAATGCGAGGGGAATAGCAAAAACTGTACAGATGAACACAGAATGTCATGCGTTAACAGAGTTTAGAGGCACGTTAACTTGCTTTGTTGGTCAAAATACAGCGGAGAGTTGAGGCACACTTAAGACACGGGAAAAGAAGTAAAATTGTTTAGTCTACAGGCATCGTGGTGAATGCGAACAGCGGTGTGCGACGTGGCCCAGGCTTAATAAATAACATAGACATATATTACTTAAATGTTGGTAGTAGCATCGTTATAACACTTAATTGTCCGCGTTGGCTGTCAAGGTGGCCGTTGTCCGGCGTTATTGTGGTGCGCGCTACAATGCTGATCTAGTCTCCATTTAAAAGTATCTACCGAGCCTGACATAACAACATCCTCAGGCAAGGCATTCCAAGCTGCAACCACTCTGTTGGAGAAGAAGAACTTTCGGGTGTCTAGCCGGACACCAGCCACACGCAGTTTGAGTGGATGGCCTCTCAGGTTAGTCGTAGTCGCCAACTCGAAGAAGTCTCCAAACGCGAGGCAGCAGCCCTGATTGCGCACGATGCGGAAAGCTTGTATCAGGTCCCCACGTAGCTGTCTGTAACTCAAAGGAAAGAGGTCAAGATTAGCTAATCGCGTTTTGTAGGGTAGTGACCACTGCCCAGATACAAGTTTCGTTGCTCGCCGTTGAACTTTTTCGAGTATGCCCAAGTCTTTAGCGGTCCAGGGTCGCCATGCTTGGATAGCAAACTCCAGATGCGGTCGCACAAAAGTTTGAAAGACCTTGGCGAAGCAGTCTTCATCAAAGGAGGAGAACGCCCGTTTGACAAGGTATAGCATGGACATCGCCGACTTGGCAATCTTTGAACATTGCAGCGAAGGCTTAAGCGAGGTTGTGATCCATACACCCAAGTCCTTCTGGGAGTCGATTTCTTGCAGTGGTTTGCCAGTCAGACGGTAGATCGTGTGGTTAGGAGAACTGGTTCTGCCAACGCGTAGGAAAGTACTCTTGTTTACGTTGAACGGTAGAAGTCAGTCTTTCGACCATTGCTCGAGGTGGTCCAGACTTGTCTGCAGTCGCGCCTCGTCAACTTCGCTTCGTATGGTACTCCAAATCTTTATGTCATCGGCAAACATTGCGACATCGCAATCAGTTCGTTTGCTCAGTCATTGACGTATGCGAGGAACAGCGTAGGGCCAAGAACAGAGCCTTGGGGAACACCGCTCTTAACGGCAACCTCGGCAGATTGTTGGTCACCGACGTGGACGGCTTGAGAGCGGCAGATTAAAAAGCTCCGAATCCACATCAGAAGCTTACCCCGCACTCCTGCACGGCTAAGTTTGTATAGAAGGCGGTGGTGAGGCACACTATCGAAGGCCTTTTAAAGTCGATATAGATGGCATGCACCATATCTCCTCTATCAACAGCCCTAGTTCAGTGTTCCAGAGAGTAGAGCAGGTTTGTCACACAGGATCTGCCTTTTCGGAATCCATGCTGAGAATCGGAAAGCAAATGGTTTTGTTCAAGGAACTGCATTAGTTGTTGCTTTAATATCTTCTCCATAATCTTACAGCAAATGGAGGTGAGGCTGACCGGTCTGTAATTGTTCGCAGAGACCCGACTTCCGCCCTTGTACAGCGGCGTAATCCACGCCGACTTCCAGTCGGGTGGCAGATATCCGGTCTCGAAGGATGTATGGAAAAGCATGGAGAGTGGCTTAGACAACTCACCGGCGAGTTCCTTCAAAATCTTCGCCGGAATCTCATCGGGACCTGGTGATTTGGATTCCTTTAACCTCAGCAACACCGTCAGAACCATACCCTCACTGAACTGGACGGTCTCTATAATTAAGGTGTCTTCGAAGGATTGAAGGGCCGAAGGGTTGAATCCTTTTTCGCTACTAAAAACAGACCGAAAAAAATCTGAAAGGTGCTCAGCTTTCGCCCTGTCGTCAGTGAGATGTTCGCCTTCAGCAGTCCTTATCAGGGGTATTGGGTCCTTGTTCCGCGTGCACTGCCTAGTGTAACCGTAGAATAATTTAGGGTTCTCCGCGGCACGGTTAAGCAGATCCCGTTCGAATTCCTGTCTGGTTTTGAGGATAAGACCCTTGACTCGATTTCTTTGAATTTTGTACGCGCATATAAATGTGGGGCTCCTGTCAGAAAGCAATTTTTTCCACAGCCGTCGTTTTTTATTCACTTCATTCTTCAAGGCTTGCGAAAGCCATCGAGGTCTGTTAGTTAACCTCTTCCGTGAAAGCGGACAGTGGTTTACGATCAGCTCGAGCAGAATTTCTCGGAACCGTTGCCAGTCTTCGAGTATGCTCCCAGCAAATATGGACTCCCACTCAATGCGTAAAATTTCAGCCCTCATTTGATCGAAATCCCCGCGCCAAAGGTTTCTTGTAACTGCCCCGGGTTTCTTGGGCATGGAAAAAAGCGAGTAATCCCATAGAAGAACGACGTGGTCACTTTTACCTAAGGGGGGTAGGCATGACACCTCATCAATGCTGTCCTGTGACTTCGTAAGGACAAGATCAAGGCAGTTGGCTTGTTGGCTTTCGCGTACTCTAGTTGGTAACATGACGTGTTGAGTGAGAAATAGCTTCAATGTCGTGTTCAGAAAACTCCTATCGAAGGTCTGTTCTGAGCTATTTGCATGGGTTGAGCTCCAGTCAATATGGGGCGCGTTAAAGTCGCCCATGATTAGGATATCCGGCCGCGTAGCGAACTTTTCCAGCTCCTCCAGCAGGCGAGCGTCGGCCATGTTGTCCAGTCTCGGCGGTCGATAAACTGTCAGGACATCGAGGCTAGGCGAGCTCGGCACTTTAATAGACAACCAGATTGCCTCGGAACTGCACGAAAAGTTATCGGTCTTGTCTGATACATTAAGCCCATTTTTTACATACGTTAGTACGCCTCCTCCCTGACGCCCTTCCCTATCCCTTCTAAACATCTGGTAGCCAGGCAAGGCCAGCCCACAGTCGTCCACGTGTTGGGTCAACCAGGTTTCTGTTAGAGAGATTACGTCAGGGGATAGATCGCAGAGGTGGATCTGCAGCTCGTCGAACTTTGATAGCAAACTCTGTACGTTGGTGTACAAGAATTTCAATTTCCGGCTGACGGAAGATGTGGTTACATTTGGGTTAGCGCCTTCACTTAATATGTCGGCTACGCGGTCATTCGGACAGGACCTGTCCAAAGGAAGAGTGACGGACGCCGCCGTACTTGGTTGTTGTATATTATTAAATTGTTCTCCCCCTCGCTGAGCCTCTTTCTTAGTTCTAGAACCAGCTGACGACGCTTGAGCCGTTCGGCTGGCGAGTAGTCCGGTTGAAAAAAAAACACCGGGGTTGGAGCCCTTAATCCTGAATTGCCTGGAGTAAATGAGACTGGCTTGGTCGCTGCTGGTCAGCACAACTTTAAGAGGCCGGGGTCGAGTGGACATTGATGGATTATCTGCTCGTTTTCCAAGGCGGAAGGCTTTGATCACTTCAATAGCCTCCGTGGGTTCCAAAATATTATTGAGAAGACCTTGGAAGAGTGATAGGTCTTCCGAAATTCGCTCCTTGGGAGTAATTGCACTTGATTCAGGGAGCCCCTGAATAATAAGACATTGTTCTCTGTCGGTCTCTTTTTATTTTCTACGGAATTGTGGTTCCCTAAACGACGTAACGCTCTGGGACTACGCGCTGGTGATGGTGGAGCAGATGCGCTTAGGCCGTCTGTTTGTTTGACTCTTATGTTGACAATCTTGGAAGAAGTACTTGGCGGAGAAGACTGCGGAGAGAAATCTGTGGCTGTGATGGATGAATCGATTCCACCGCTCGTACTAGGTCTATCAAGCTCGGACTGTTTCTGAGAGTCAGCAAAGGTGTTCGAACACACAGCATTTGTCATGAGGGGCGGAGCATCTGTCAATGTCTCTGCTTCGACCGCTAAAGACGCATCTTCCTGAAGTAGCCGTCCGTTTTTCTCGGCCATTTTACAGTTGGATTTCTTTTTCTCTTCAGTTTTGGGTTGCCTTTCTGATCGTTATTTTCTCGCTTTTTAGCTATTCCTTCTGGGGCCGCTGTAAGAGGTGCTGGCGTGCCTATTATGCTGGGAGCTTTTGCCCTACTTCTGGTTACTCGTCCAGTAAGCAAAGTGCTAGCGTTAGCTTGGTCTAGACTGCATCGCAACTGGGCTTTTATCTTTGTGATTTCTTCCTCAAGATAGTTGACCTTGGCGGCCAGAATCTGGCATCCACTGCAGCTTTGGCCTGCATTTTCTGCGTCCATACAGTCAAGTAGACTATGTGATACCGCTCGTCGACGTGCTGCGGTGGCGTAGGGGTTAGCGCACTTGACTAAGCAAGGGGTGATCGCTGGATCGATTCCACACCCCGACCCCATTTCGCGGAAGTCAGTGCGTACTTCAGTCATGCCGTGAAGTTATGGAAAAGGGGCAGGCCACAGGAATCGAAGAAAAAAACGTCGCCTAGGGCCAAATAGGGAAAACTGCGTGTATGGTTGGGTTTGTCGGAGAATCTCAAGAAGGCAAGGCCTGGAGGTCTTTTTAACTATGACTGTGCCAGGAGTACAAATCTAAGCAGCTCAACAAGCAGTGTAGAAATTATCGACTCAGCCTTTAGTAGGTCCTGTTCCCAAGGTACGGTGGACAATTCGAGACGATATGAAGGATTTGTAGGCTGTGTTGGTTACGCTCAGATTGCCAGCAATTGCAGAAAAGTGTCCTAGTCGTACGATGAGGGCAACGATGACAGCAAGGTTGAGGGTAGTAGGCAACAATGCGTTTGAGAATCCAATTTCTGATGCCGGACCAACTGTTTCCAGTGAGGAACTCGATTGAAAATGTCCTTCTTGCTCCTCAAAATTCAAACCGCGCGTCTCCTAAATTCCAGAAGCTTCTTGACACCATTTACTTATCACACCTGTTTCAATTAGTCCACTCTTCGACCAGAAAAGATAGTGTTTTAGACTTAGTTCTCACTAATGGCACCTTCCCTCTATTTATGGATCTCTTTCATGACCGTTGAAAACAGTCAGCACACGAAGGATGCGAGATAGATGCAGCGCAAAAACGTTTCAATGCAAATAATGTATCGTAAAATTCGTGGTTGAGCGGAGGCAAGAGCATATTGTCGAATATGTTCACCGCAAACGACGGTCTGTTTTGTTGTGTGCAGAAAAACGAAGTAACTTCATCGCCTTAGCAAATTCCCACTTAAGCCTGTGTCCTGCCGCCTTCGGATTATTGTGGTGGGACTTCTATATTCTCCGCTTTAATGTCTCATGTTTATTTTGCGGCCTAGTTTATCTCTTTAAGTGGTAGCAATCTTGTTTATTTGAAGTTTTATGGCATGTTTGCCTTGACTGCGACACACGTTTTTGATGCTTCAGATCTCTTACAACGAATTCCAAAGTCCTACCTCACTTTGCCTTCTGTTTTTTTCCTTGAACACCGCCACAACTGCATTTTAAAGTGTTCCGATGCTTAGCTCTGGTATAACATCGCCGTGTGTCCTCTGGAGTCTCCCGATATGATAATGGATTCCTCTACCCATAACCTTCAACGCATCACATTCAGTCCTGCCAATCAAAAAGGACGACCACCGACTCTTTGCGGGGGCCAAGAAAGACATCAGTTTTTCAAGTTCCTTTGAAGTTAGGCACCACCTGCCTATTAGTTGGCCGCCCAGCGAGGCGGTATGACGGGTACTAATACCGAGCGCACCAATGTCCCCCTGTTGTTGGGTTAATAAGGCAGCTGTCTTTTGGTTTAGTTTTGTTGTCATCTTCACGTATCTCCCACTAGTCTTTCTCCTGACCCTGTCCCTTTATCGTTATTTTTTATTTTTATTTTTTCGGCTTCTTTTTCACCAGGAGACTTAATTCTTAATGGTCTTGGCTTGTTCTCTAGCCGCCGTCTCCTCCACCCTCGGTATCTTTTGAATTTCTTTAGACAACCTTACTGCCTAAACGGCCTTTCAGTCACTTTTAGATTCTTTCGGCAAGTCACCAGATTATACAGTAATTTGAGCGTCCCTGGACAATTCGGGCCTTGATCAGAACCTGGGGTTTTTGCCTGTCGCGAACACATTTGTAGTGTCCAGAGACGGATTGTGTTAAGACCACATGGCGCTTCCTACGTTCATAAAGTGTTTAGAGTCAGAACAGGTTAGGAAACCTTTTTCTTAATCTTTATTGCAGATAATTGAGCTGAAGAGTTTTCTCAGTGAATATGGAGCAGATGAGGTTGACACGAGTGAGGTTACGCAGGGTAATTGGGTGTCCGCTTTCGTCAAGTGTATTCCCCACCTATCTGTTTGCTGGGCAAACGACCAAGTCACAGAAGCCCGTTAGTTAAATTGTAAATCCTTACTTCTTTAGAAGCCATCGACTTGCTTACAACTGTTGCTTCGCTGATAATTCAGTTACCCGGTGATGACATCCCGCAAGCCGTCGAAGAGTTGTGTGTATTATACGAGGAACTTAAGGGTCCTGTCAATCGAAAGCACCTTGCCAAGCTCTACTCGTAAGTGTGATCATTTTTACTGTCTTGTAAGTTTAAATGTCCTTTTCACGGGTTTGGCCGAGGAAAATCACGCTAGGTTCCGAATTTACCAGGCTCTTATAACTTGTGCCCATAAAGTTGGGGCGCTCCAGCAAATCTTTACGGACACCGGAAGAGTTTGCGTTATTTCAACTCGTTATCATTGTTTAGGTTTCGAACCTCCTAAAAATATGCCGGTGTACGCCCGAAGAGTGCAAAAAGTTGTGGCGTCAGCTATCTGAAGTGCACATGGCCACGGGCAACACGAAGCAGGCTACACAAGCGTTAATCAACCTCCTCTCAACGTACACTGCGGGTAACGCGGTAGACGCGCGCAGCGATGCAGTCAGGTACCAAAATGTTCTCTGATACCAAGTTTGTAGGTGCATTGTTGCTGCGATTCAGGATCTGAGTTTCTTGTCACACAGTCGCCTGATGGCTCTTAAACCCGTTCAGTTTCTAGAGGGCGAACCTATCCATAAGGTTTTATTCCTTACTTGTAGTTACTCTTTAGCTCCTGGAGATATTCATTTCTGGTGGTCTTAGGGATTTCTCCGCATTTACGAAGAAATACCCCAAGTTTCTCTCGGAGAATGGACTGACCGAGGAGGCATGCCTAAACAAAATCCGTATCTTATGCTTAATGGAAATAGCGGAGAATGTTGGCGAGTTGGATTATGAAACCGTATGTAAGAAAATCGGCCTTTCAGAAGATCAGCTTGAAGCATTTGTGATTGAAGGTAAAGACATTATTTTGGACCTTGTTTCTAGAAAGACAATTATTTTTCTTAGTAACCTTTAATCGCACGCCGAGAGGTTGATAAAAACTATCCACTTCATGGTAGTCGTCTGTCGTCAACTGCTGTTCTGGCTATTGGTCAGTCAGTAACCTGACAGCTTTGCGACAACTAGGCCCCACCGTTAGTTCGTCTCAAACCTTTGCTCTGGGTGCTTACCTTTCATAACAATTTATAGGATAAATTGGTGCGGCACTTTCTGGCGCCAGACATAATGAGGACTCGACCTACACCCATCCTCCGATTACAGTAAATGTTCGTCAGGGTGAAAGCCAACTCTGCGACATGTATAGATATTATATAGAGGATTTGTGTAGCATAATTTTATTCAGTCACAGGCTGACTGCCGACACAACAGCGAAATAATGCCCAAACATAAGCTTTTCAAATTATATTTCGACACACGGTCACGGCCATAGGATCCCAACCTCATAGGCAAGACAACCATCTTAAGGGCAGATACACATGATTTAAGTAAAGGTGAAATGCCTTTCCATCTAAACACTGCATACTGAAGCCGTGTCTGAGCTTCATGGTTGACCACTTTTGATCGTGACGGCGTCATGACAGGCCCTCATATTGCAAATGTACAGCATCATGAGTGCGCTGTGTGCCAGTCGAGGACCAGCCGTCGAACACCAGGCTGCCCTCATTCTAACTGACTCGGCTGATGACCATCGCCTTTCCAGTGACAAAACTGCTTTTCTCCTGTTGCGAATGGCCATGTACTACAGACAGTATCCTCGCAACGAACTGCAGGCTAATGCGCATGCAGTTTTATGCCACCACTGTTTCCCACTATTAATTGTTCCGCTGTCGGTAGTGTCTCTTGGTCTCATTGTTTACTATCTAATGGTGAATTATGGTTTGTGGGCCACCAACCGTAAATGGGTTCAGGATTCTTATAGTCGCCTCCGCGATCTTCACGTACGAGACCGCGGGCCAGAACTTCGGCCTCTCATAGTCCTACCGCACACCAGTAGGCTTCTTTTGGCACTTAAGTATAAAGAACCTCGGGTAACCAGTAGTCGCAAATAGAAAGTGCAGGTTTTTCACTTTCTCCAGTCGTCACCGCATCACGCCTGGACCCGCTGAAAGAGTTATGACACGGCTGCGTTTGTGACCAACAAATTACTTGCCTTTACAATGAAGGGTACGTCTAGTGCTCAATTCCTCGCTAAAAACCGTATTCCTTTTCTTCCTGTCTGTCATCTTTTTAACTTGTACACAACGAAACGGCAATCAGTTGTAGATTTCTTCTATGGTAAATAAAGTGTCTGGAAGGATGGGGTTCAACAGTATCCCATGGCCTATATTTCAGCCTTTTAATTGCGACAAATTTGTGGTCAAATCCGACCCAGAATTTTGGAGTTCGAGCTGAAGAACAGTTATTCGAGCCGCTTCAGCAGTCAGTCAGACAGGGTGACCCCGTTGGCGTTCCCATCTTTTGCTCGCGAACTCGATTGTCGAAATTGAAGAGGGTCCTCACACAGTTTCAGGAGTTCGGTGACGCACACCCGCTTGAGCCGTTGGTCAGCCGCGTCGTATTTTTCTCGGCGATCGTCAATAATGCCACTAACGGGGTCGGCTGATTTGGAGTTATTAATTTCGCAAATCGTTAATGGAAGGACTTGGCTTGTAGTGCCCGAGGCATGACTTTGTAGGGTTAGTTGTAACATTGTAATGGACGTTTTAGTCAAAGACAATTACTTTCTGAGGAATAATCGGCCAGAGATGACTGCAGAAAGTATTGGGTTGGAATAACGACCTCCACGGAGCAGACCTTAAACGTTGGTGGCGCTCAAAGACCATCAACTTTTCCCCTAAGTTACTGGTGGGCCGTCTGCACTGAGTGGTTGCTTTATTGTCGATAACTCGGCCAAAGTCGAATGCTGACATGTGCATTTCGAACACCTCAACTTCGATGACCGACCCATCACGTCCCCGCTGTCTGCAACGGCTTTATTCCTCTCCAGCCTATTAAGTTTCATGTGACCCCCCTTTGGGGGAGAAACCGCCGATGGAACACGGAGGTTTTGGCAGTGTTAGGTTTGTACCCGGACACCGGCCGTCTACGCTGACGACGTCGCACTGATAGCCTCAGGCTTTGATGATTTGCAGTCTGTGGCGTCACGGGTGAATGAAGTCGATAAATCGATCGGTTTGTCCATAAAGGCTATGAAGACCAAGGCGTTTTCGACTATCATCTCTGACCGAGGAAAGGCACCCGTCGGGATTAATGGCAACCGAATAGACAGTGTGAGGACGTTATCTCCCGAACCGATGCTTCTGTCAGGATTCTCACGATCCTTGAAAAGTGTCTATGGACTCGACGCGGCCTCTCCAATGCCACAAATACCATGGACGAACCGGCACTGACATTAAAGCTGCAAAGTTGTACTCCGTACACACCTGTGGCAGTGATAAGATCATTTAAACGACCCATCATACACGCTTTCACAGATCGCGCCGTTTCTGAAACATATTGAGTGCATGCGAGTTAACATTAACTGCCGACCTTGGCAATAAAAACACTTTATCTGTAGCTGCATGAACTGATTGGAATACTCCCATGACACGCTCCGCTGATTACTGTTTGTGATTAGGATGGGTCGGGCTGGGCCAAGTAACTCTTAAAACAAACGCTTAACTTGGTCCCTCGAGCTTGACTCAATGAGGCAACGCATGCAGGGTTTCGATGTCCACTGACCAGAACCGACTATTTGCCTCAAACAAGGACTTCCAGAATTCAAACGTTGCTCATGCGTCCAGTCGGCCAAACAACCTTCTGGTCGGCTCAAAGTTTCGTAGCTGGATTCATGGCATCGGACCGTCACGTTGTTGCTATTGTTCGATCCACTTTGAAGCTCATTACATACTTAGATTTCTCATGGTGAATACTTACTCCAGAAGCCACGGGTGGGAATACGGGAATTCAGTCTTGCTTTGTAGCCCAAATAAAGCGAGAGGGTTGCATCAAACGGTCAGTACGAATATCTCTGGTCTGTGATGTAGCAGAAGTAATTCTCACATTCATCCAATGACATCGCGCCGACTGGATCTGTTCAAGCACTTTAGAGTTGCCTCTCTTGTCACGATCGTTCTATCAAGTACGAAAAGTGACAGCGAAGTCAGTTAGAAAACACTAATGAGTTGAATGGCGACCATGGAGTGGGCATCAAACGTCAGTGGCACTCGGAAACCCCACTACCGCACTCCCGAAGTTATTAATTGGTCAAACTCGCCGAGTGAGTGTGTTTGCAGTGTGAATGCAGTATGTATTTCCGATAGCCCGTCCAAGTTCACGCGGTAGCGCGGGCTCTCACAGTGTCTTTTCAACTTCTGCGATCAACTGATCACCATTGCTCTCACCATCACAGGGAGTTCCATAGTTGTCCAGCCTATGCTCGTTCATATGATCCTCCCTCCCAGGAAGAATTCATCGATTCAATACTGTGGCTGCAGGGCCCGCTATTCTCTAACACAGAGCGAGTTTTGGTCTTCAGTGGTTTCTGCCAACCGTTCCATCTCCGGACGGGCGTTCTACGAGGTTGCGTTCGGTCGCCCATTCTGTTTAAGTCATTGTCTATACTTTCGGAAGGGCTTTAACCAGTTTTGCCTGTTGAATTCGCACCCGGGTGGCGGCTGATTGTCCTCGAATACGTTGACGATATCGTCCTGTTAGTGTCAATCAATGCTAATCAACAGAAGACACAGTCAATAGTGGGTGAGGATGCAGAATCAACGCTGGGAAGGACAAATATTTCTAACTGAATCCCTGACTAGGGAAATGCACCTCTCGTGATTAATGGACTTCAGCTTCAATACATGGACACTTCTAACGCCGCAGGTGAAGTTTCTGTCACATATAGAGAGTGCGGTCGAAATCGTTGCCGGGATAGATGTCGTTAGTTAGATTTTTAAGACCATGATAGGTGTCTGTCAACTCGTTTAAATGTCTGGATCGCTACAGTGGTCAACTTTTGCTGAGCAGCGTTCAACCAGTCCCCCTATACGCTTGTGAATTTTGGGATGTGTGTGTGCAGAAGATGACAAACATCTGAGGTATCTGATCACCGTTGCCTGTGAATCATCCTTCGTGTGATATGCACTGACTTCGCCTGCAATGAGACTGCACTAACTGCAACAGCATCTCCAAGATATCTCAGCTCATATAATGCAGACGGATAGCGTATTTTGTGTACACCCATGAGCCGGATGTTCCTGCGCATGCTGCGATGCAGCTGTGCACCTGGAGCTGTCAATGCGGTCGGCCCAAGTACGTCCCTGATGCAGTCCGTCAGGAAATGGGGTGCTTCTGTGGACTTCGATATTCGGCCGCCGTCTCTGAGGAGCAGATGGGCGAGCTCTCTAAAGGGGGGAATTCGCAACAGCATCTAGGCCGACCAAACTTGGCATGATCACGGCCATATCCATCAGTATTGAGTACAGTGGTTTCCTACTGCTTAATGGCCCAGCGATGCCTCGTACGTTCATCTCACGCCCTTTTCGTAGGATTTGAATCGCCTGAAATTACAGGGTTAGTCATTGGGACATACCCATTTTCATGATTCTAATTTCAAAACATCAAAACTTCTGGCGTCACCGAGTAATTTTCCGCCACTTAGATTGATTTTCTATTGCTAGGATATGGTTTGAGCTGTATATAAGTCGATTTTTTAAGCATAGTGGAGAAAATAACAATGCGCATTTCCCGTTTGCATGCTGTGGTGTATTTACTGACATCCTGGGCGAAAAAAATCTCAGTGACGGCGCTAATGCGCAAATTCTACTGTTCCACATATTTATTAATGTAGCCCTATAAGTATTGTATAGTATTTATGAGTATGTTTCTCCTCATCCTCCCCCCCAACATTAGCCGTCCGCCAAAAAGTGATCACTTGCAAACTGGACCAGATCAATCGCCGTATTCTCATCACTAGTGCCCTTCCACGTAATTTCGGCCGCGCCCAATGGCTGAGCCTTGCTAAGACGCTGCAGGAATGGAGGGCTGGGCTTCGCGTCGTTCAGAACAGTCTGGGAACAATGATTGGTGCCGCGGCCCCCTAACTTATTCACATCTTTGCCTCATGTTTCGTGTGTAACAATCCTCTGTATAATGACCTCTCCGTCGATCTTCCTTGGTTTTGTGTTTCTCATCATCGACTTCAAATGTCCCCAAACTTGGACAAAATTTCCTGACTTCTTTGCCACCGAAAGTTCCGCTGTCACCACGGTTATGGTTTTTTGATAATCACGTGTCGCAAAACTGCTTCAGACAACCTAGCATCGGTCTCGCAGGCTGCAGGCCGAACCAGAAAATTCACGTAAGCCGTTTTTGGCTAGTCGTCGTAGTTACATTCAAACGTTTACAAGAGGCCGAAAGCTTCCAAGTTTCGTTCGTACTAGAAAATGGCAGGTATTCATCTCATCCATAGACACCAGTCCATAGAAGTTGCGATTCGGCGTGATTTAATTACTTGGGATTATGCTCAAAATCGCTGAAATCAATCAATTCAACCCCACCAAAGCTATTGTTTTATGAGTTCGGCTCCAAATTGAGTACCCGGTTGTTCCGCCATTTTAGGCCTAATAACCGATTCCAGGAGGCCTTAAAACCTGCTCTAAGATCCCCTCACGAGGCCTGGCCAAGCGAATAATATGAACCACAGCACGAGTTTCTCGTTGCCTGCGTTTCCTCGCGAGATTCCCCATTCATCTAGGGCGGTGTCATTATCAACCGGTCGGCGGTTGAACCACGTTGCTATATTTAGTCCCTAGTGGACATTCTAGAGCTTTATGTTAAATCCAATTGATAGCATCGCGCCCTCGGGCACGACGGCTTGTTTTGGCTGCGTCACATTCCCAATGATTGCCAAGTATGAGCAGTCAATCGACGTGCAAAAAAGCTTTCGAGTCGCGGACGAACTTGACACCATTCGCATTCCCAGCAAGTAGTAATTAATTTTCAATATGACCTATAGAGAGCAGAGAACTCACACGAACGGTAAGGGGTCTGCGAGTGTAGTCGGTCTTGCGCCGGATGCCCACTGTTGACCTGTGCATAATGCACTTTCCAACTGTGCGAATAGCCAGCCTTTTCCTTATATTTGACTGGCATCGCGAATTTGATGCTGACTGAAGTACCCTGCCTCCGAGGTTGCCAATCAGACAGCTTAGGCGAAGACGCACAGGTTCATCATGTGAACCTCGTATGGCCTAATCTCGATAAGTAGCGGTCATGGGTATAGGGATGTCAGCGGTGGGTTGACGTAATGGTCGTGGTGGTCGCTCACTTGCTTGCAGCTGAGACTGCGCCTAGCGTCCACTTGCTGGCACTCAACTCTCACCCGTGGCTCCACGTAGCTGGACTCTGCTCAGCGGCCACACCCCGGGCAACCGTCTCGACCGGCGGGCTTAACCAGGCGAGGGGGCCCTGTGCGCTGTGCCGTGTGCACAGGGTTTGCGGATTCCGCTGGATGGAACCTTGCGTCGGCACCGTCGTGACGTGGTTCGTCTCTGCACGCCGCTGGACAGCCGGTGACGGGATGGATCTCCACATCGACATCGCCTTGACACGCCCACCTACGCCGTCGGAGACCGCGGCTTACGGCGAATTCGAGTCGCTCTCCACTACAACCCGAAGTCGTGGTCTCATAGTGGAGTTCGGCCGTGCCACAAGGGCACATGGCAGCCCTATTCAGGGATGGCGCTGCCAGCCCCCACGAGGGGAAGGGCCTAGAAAAGGTAGCCTAAACATTGCTGGGTACCACGCCGTCTCCAGGCTAGCCAGGGCCGCAGACGTCTAATCATGGTCGAAACAATCGAAATCGAAACATCAACAATACCAATAACAACAACAACCGTACTCATCCTCCTCATCCTACCTCTTCTTCCTCTTCCTCTGCCTATTCTTCTCCTTCGTCACCTTCTCCATCTCATTCCCGTCGCCCCACTCGTTGTCACCAGACTGGCAGGGTGAGCCCGCTCACTCTGGCAGCCTGGAATGTTCGTTCCCTTTTAGACAATCCGAGGAGCAACCGACCGGAACGGAGGACGGCGCTAGTGGCACGAGAACTGGCGCGCTACAAGGTGGACATCGCCGCACTCAGCAAGGCCCGATTCTCCAAACAAGGCCAACTGGAGGAGGTGGGTGCCGGCTACACCTTCTTCTGGAGCGGTCGACCCAGGGCAGAGCGACGGGACGCGGGTGTCGCCTTCGTCATTCGGAACGACATCGTGGGACGACTGCCCTGTTTGCCGCAGGGCATCAACGATCGCCTGATGAGCCTCCGCCTGCCTCTCTGGGGAGGCAAATTCGCCACCATCATCAGCGCCTACGCTCCGACGATGACCAACCCCGACGCCGTCAGAGACAAATTCTACGAGGACCTGCAC